AGCCCTTCTCAGCTCCAGAGTAGTTAGTTTCTCTAGATATACAGTCCTGCAATGATCTCTTTTAAAGATCTTATACAAGGGGGCTGTACGACAACTTACCAACACATGTCGGTTCAAAAGCCCATCCTTATTAAATACCCATTCCTTCAATTTAGACTTTTCGTTTTCGTTTATCAATAAGTCATCGGGGATTGAGTATTTCAGTAAAATAGAATTCAAGTGATCAACTAATCTTTTCGAGGATTTCAACAGCAATCCAAAACTTTGTACACCTAGAATATCCTGAGGTTGTTCTAAACATTTCCTCCAATACGAGAGGATTCTTACATTTGCCCTGGCTTTCAGGGATACCATACCCAGTTCAGCCCTCATCAACGCCACAGGTGAACCTTTGGGTAAGACCAAAATCCGCCTCATAAAATAATTTTGCACAGTTTCTAGCAGGGACAGCAACGATTCGTCCCAACCCCAAATCTCTACCCCATACAGCATTGCTGAAATTATCTTGCTCATGTATAATTTAACAACCGGGTCGATCATACCTCCACCCCTAGAGAAGTAAAGTTAATTGAGAGGGCGGTGGCAATTCAGTTGCAGGTTTTTTTGACACCTCCACATTAGATCCCTTCCAGTCCAGCTTCCAACCAGGCCATGGGACGGAGACAGCACTGGTAGGCATCACAGATGACATCCGGAGGCATCTTGATCGGGGCAGTTCAGTGGTGTTGCTGTTGTTAGACATGTCAGTGGTGTTCGACATGGTTGACTACCAACTACTGATCCACCACCTCACCGACACTGGGATTCAGGGGTCTCCCTTGCAGTGGCTCTCCTCATTCCTTCAGGGTCAGGGACAAAGGGTGGCTATTGGGGAACAGCTATCCTGAAGGCATCTGCTGACTTGCGGAGTGCCCCAAGGAGCGGTGCTTTTCCCGATGTTATTTAACATCTACATGCACCTCCTTGCCCAGATTGCCCAGAGCCATGGGCTGGGTTGTCACCAATATGCGGATGACACCCAGCTCTATCTGTTGTTGGGCAACCAGTCTGACTCTAGTTCAGAAGATCTGGACCTGGCCTTGAAAGCTGTGGCTGGTTGGCTTAGACTGAGTCAACTGAAATTGAATCCGAGGAAGACGGAGATTCTGTGCTTGATTTGGAGCAGCCCAAGGGGAGGGATCCCACTCCCGACTTTCGATGAGGTGCCATTGGCGCCAGCGCTGGAGGTTAGGAGTTTGGGAGTGCTCCTGGATGCTTCCTTAACAATGGTGGCCCAGGTAGCAGCCACTGTGAAGTCAGCCTTCTATCACCTTCAGCTGATTAGGCAACTGGTCCCCTTCCTCGAACACAATACCCTGGCAACAGTGATCCGTGCAATGGTCACCTTGAGACTATATTACTGTAATGCTCTCTACACCGGGCTGCCCTTGTCCCAAATCTGGAAGCTGCAGCTGGTGCAGAATGCGGCAGCCAGGCTGCTGCTGGGCCTCCCTATATGGGAGCATATCCAGCCTGCGCTAAAGGCACTGCACTGGCTGCCTATGGCATACTGAATTCAGTTCAAGGTGCTGGTTGGGGCCTACATACCTAAGGGATCACCTTTCCCCACAATGTTCCCCAGAGAGCACTATAATTGGGGTCCCAAAACCGTCTGGTCCTTTCAGGCCCCAGAGGAGCCAGGCTGGCTGTGAGGAGGGCCATGTCCTTCTCAGTGGCAGCTCCGTACTGGTGGAATGAGTGCCCGGATGACATCAGGGCCCTGCGGGACCTTTTACAGTTCCACAGGGCCTGCAAGACAGAGCTCTTCCACCAGGCCTTTGTTTAGGGAGCTGCACCCAATAAACTGAAGCCCTG